ATTTACATATATACATTGCCACCACATGTGTATATATGTTCCTGGTTCTTGACACCCTCTCCAACAATTTATTGAGTTATTTTTATTCATATATGCTATTCTTACCGGTGTTAAGTACCACTTCCATATTAACTTATAATAATTTTCTTTAACTCGTATCGATAAATTTTTTAAATGTCTTTGTCCCCATAACTGTTGCCACTCTATTTCACTTATTTTTATCCCTAAATCCTCTTCCCAAATCTCCTTAAGGGTATACTTTTTTATTTTTCCATCCCTCATTTCAATTAGTATCTTATAGATTTTGCTAATTATACCTCTCAAGTTTTCATGTTCTTCTACTGCCCTTCCCTTCTGTATTATTTGTTCGAATTGATTGAGTTGGCTTCCATTTCTATTATTTTTTTCCAGTTTATTAACCATTGTTCTAATTGTATACAATGAAACCATGATAATTTTATTTCTTTAAACTCTTCCAACATCCTTTCCCTCTTCATTTCCACTTTCATCCAATCCCCTATTCTATCTAAATTTATTTCCCTTACCTTTTTATCCATTGCTTTTTTAAATTTTTTGGGAATTTCTTTTCCATCACTATTGGGGTTATAATTGATCCCTCCTTTATTAACCTCCCCTTATATTTATTCCATACTTTCAGTATGTTACTCAGCATTGGGTTTCTAATTTCCCTCATTCTTTTCTGGTAAGCTGTTTAAAAACTATATTCCAAGTTTCATCTTCCACTTTTCCTGAATCATTACTAAGCCAATCTATTCCCTTTATATGTTATTTATGTGTGAGCAAATTTCAGTATATCTGGTCCATGAGGTTACAAAGAGTCAAAGGCGACTGAACGAATAAGCAACAACAAACTCTCTTAAATGCAAGATATTTGGAGAAGAATTCTTAGTACAATGACCTCATTTTGCCCATCCTTCTTGCTGCACTCTTGGTGAGGCACATACAGATCCTACATAAGGTATGAGAATACTGCTAGTGAGAAAGACCTTGCTGGTTTTAGTGAGTACCCTGCTCTACAAAGCACTTATGCACATGCAAGGGATTGGTGAAATAGCAATATGCATGCAATTTTGTCTTGTCAAACAGAAACTCCCTTGTATATAATGTTTTTTAAACAAACACACCAATCATTTAAAAGGTAATGACTGGCACAGCACATATACGAGCACAAATATACCTCATATTTTCCTTATTATTGTACCATGCAAGTAGGTAATGTACCAATTTCATACAGTCTGCAGTTCCCTCTTTTGCAGCTTGCAAAGAAAAAACATAAAAATTAAAGATATTTAATTTGGCAGTCTCTGTGACTATGAGGTAGTAGGAACTGGGTATTAATGTTGTTTCAAGTCTATTCTTAATGTCTTCTTGTGTATGTGTGCACGCGCATTTACTAATGATTGCTTCCAGCCAGCCAGCTAACTTTATAGAATTAGCGAATACTATAAAGTTCAACTTTATGATTTTTCCAGGAAAACATGACCTTCCAATAAACTAGGGAAGGGAACCATGCAGATCTCCAGATATATTGGGTTCCAGGTTCCATGAGTCCTAGCCAGCATAGACGATAATAAGGAATTCTGAGGTCTACATTCCAACAACATCTGGAGAGCTATATAATTCCCACCCTTCCTGTGTAAACTTTAGACTGGCATCATAAATGTGTGCTTCTCCATCAACTTTGCATGGATTCATTATCAGCAGGACTGTTGACATCTTGGGCGTCACTGGACTAGCCATGTTTCAAGTTTCTCCTGCCCCGGGTTGACTACCAGTTGATGTGTGAAAGTGTGTGACAGCAAGCTGACATGCCTGGATTTCCACTGGGTTTTTTTTAAAAAAAATCCCATAAATTGTTCTAATTTTGGTTAGTGGAGAGTTGGAGGCAGGTAGCACTTTACGTAGGTCCAGGTAAAATACAAACAGAGCTACAGGCCACACCGAGCCTGGGCTACCTTGTTGCAAACAGGACAAATACAGAGGTGCCTAGTTGACTTATCATTACATTACATTCCATTCCATTACATTACTTTACATGGGGGTAGTTGGCAGGAGAGAGAAATATCTATCTAGTAGTTTCAGTTTTAATAACATATAGGTAGATGAGCCATTGATTAAAATGCCTTTTAAAAATGCCAATTAAATATCTGCAGATCTATAGAACAAAAAAAAAGGTAGGCAAGAGCTCAACAGGATTCCCAAGGAATCAGACTTTCCAGCTGTGGTATCACACCTTGTACGGGAGGGAGAGGTGTCAGTGGGTAAAGCTTTCCTAAAATATATTTCTAAAGGGCTCATAGTATTCAGAATGCTTGATTTTACCACAGTTAATCTGTGCTTGCCTTCCACAATCATGGTTCTGTGGAACACATTTAAATCAAAATTGTGCACTCAGTATCAAAATACATTTTTGCTCTAGAACACTTGAATAGAACATTGAAAATAAATACAGTATATTAAGGGAGTGGAAGAAATACCTTTTTCCTTCTAACCTTTAAACAACATGCTTTACTCCTACAGGTCGGAGCTGTCATTGGGGCAAAGGGACTTCATCTATGGCATGAAGATCAATCAAGAGAAGGTGAAGATGTGGACTGCAGTTGTTAAATATTTATTAAGGCTGAAAGTCCATCAAGATTATTCTCGAACTCTGCTACAAGCACAAAAGGCCAAGTTCAGTCATCTAAGGCATTTCTCTCTGAGCAGGAGGCCTTGGCAACATTCATCGGGGATAGCACAAGCAGTTCAGACCTTTGACATGAGTGCAGCCATCAAGAAGGTTGAAATTCTGGAAGCAAATCAGTTTATTTGCATTCATTGGGAAGATGGGAGTAAAAGCCTTTACCCTTCTGTGTGGCTACGAGACAACTGCCAGTGCCCTGACTGCTATTTACACTCTGCTAAAGCACGCAAACTGCTTCTTGAAAATCTAGATGTTGATATTGAGGCAAAGGATATTGGTGTGACAGAAAGTAAAAAGGTAATTGTATGTGTGTGTTTTAAAGCTAACTATTATACATTATTTTGTCAAAGGTTTTCATGGCTGGAATCACAGAGCTGCTGTGAATTTTCTGGGTTGTATGGCCATCTTTCCAGAAGCATTGTCTCCTGACGTTTCACCCACATCTATGGCAGGCATCCTCAAAGGTTGTGAGATCTGTTGGAAACTAGGCAAATGGGGTTTATATATCTGTGGAATGTCCAGGGTGGGAGAAAGAACTATTGTCTGCTTGAGGCAGGTGCGAATGTTGCAATTGGCCACTTGATTATATTATTATAATAATAACTTTATTTTTATACTCAACCACCATCTTCCCAAAGGGATTTGGGGCAGCTTACATGGAGACCAAGCCCAGCATTAAACAAAAATTTACCAGCTAAAACATGGTTAAAAATATACAACATTAACAATTTCATTAAAACAATTAAGAACGGCAAAATATTTTAAAAAATGCAAAAGTGTATCAAACCACCCTCGACAGGAATATGGTGGGCATGATCAGATTAGAAAGGGCAGGGCATGGGCTTGTGCAAAAAGCAAACTATAGGGCCGGGGCTGAGGGTAAAGTGCGAAATATAACCTTCTCAGTAAATTAGGGCTGGGCATTCATGAACAGGGACTAATCATCATTCAAATGCACACTGAAACATATTGCTTTTCAAATTAAATGGCCTTGCAGCTTCAAAGCCTGGCTTCTTCCTGCCTGGGGAATTCAGCCATAGCAGAGCACTTAATGAACCAACCTGGACACAGCATATTATTTGAGAGCACAGAAATGCTGGACCACTCTAACAACCACCATATCAGACTACACAGAGAAGCCATTGAAATCCACAAGTATGTGAACAATTTCAACAGAAAGGAGGAAACCATGAAAATGAACAGAATCTGCCTGCCAGTATTTTAAAAACCCTAAAATCAGGACAGTAAATAAAGAACAACACTCAGAAAACAGAGTAATTCCAGACATGAAACAATCAGGGCCAGCTAACACCTCCCAACAAAGGAGCTCCAGGCAACAACCAGCCAGGCTTTGAAGCTGCAAAGCCATTAAATGCTAATCAAGGTGGCCTACTGCAACATCCATACTTGCCTCAGATAGACAAGAGTTCTTTCTCACACCCTAGACATTTCACAGAAATATAAGGAGAGAATGATTCTGGAACATGGCCATATAGCCTGGAAAACTCACAGCAACCTATTATACATTATTTTATATTAATTTTAACCCATATCCTTTTCTCTTTTTTTGTGGCAGGGATAAATTATGTAAGGCTCTAATTTCATACACCAGGGATGTATATATTCATTTCCTCTGGAGTAACTATATCAGATTATATTGTATACTAACAGCTGGTAACATTGGAATCTGCAGAAATACCTTTTGGTTTACCACTCTCCAAATTGCCCAGTGCTGTCTTGAGATTTTGTGGCCTTATAATACAAAAGTAACTTCTTCAAGCATTTGGCAGGACCTTGTGGTAGAAAGGGCCAAAATCAGGAGTAGACATTGGTCCTTTTGGTCCTTTCCTCTCCTCCCTTTTTGTTTCTCACCCTTATCTTTCCATAATCAATCACAACAGTTTGGTGATACTACTCTGCCATCCATCTATTTGTAGCACTTCCGTATTTATGTCTGTGCATTCCAGTCACTTTGTGTTGTATGTCCTCCTCTCTCTATGTTCTTTTTTTCCCCAAGAAAGCTGCTAAGTTAGGAACTTGTAGTTTTTAGAGAGATCTTAACTGATCAGTTGTATGAGGCTTTTGAAATTACCCATGGGTCACAAGTTTTCCATCTGTACTCTCTGCACTTAACAGGGTTGTGAACAAGTCTCACTGAGCACACTGGGACTGACCTCAGAGGAAGTAAGTCTAGGACAGCTCAGAAAGACTGTTCTTTGAACAAAGGCTTTGTACCTGTACATTCAGTTGGATTCCCCCACAAGTGGAAATGCTCCTTCCCTCGGCAGGTAGCTTTTGAGTGGCTTGAACTATGCATCAAGTTAAAAAGGGAAGGAGATAGCATTTGCCAGCAACTGCCCCTTCCTTCTTCCTGCTCTCCCTTTTGTCCCTTGAAAATCAGCAACTGAGTATTGGAGGGCTTTGTGAAACAGCAGGGAAGTAGCAAAGGAACCAGTGAAACTCACCTCCTGCTCCTCCTTCAGCGAAGTTTTTTTATATTTTATGCAATAAGGTGCACATTATATGGCCAGATGACCATACCAGTGAATTTGAGGCTGAATGGCTGAAAAAAAGATGTTTTTCTGAACAAGCAAGAGCAAAAGTCCAAGAAGAGTTGTTTTTACCAGGTAAGGAACACCATCTCATTGAATTGTACTAAGGCAACACTGTTTTTAATAAGTATGCACCTTCAAGTTACCTGTTGACATAATGTGACACTATGGATTTCGTAGGGTTTTTTTCCCTGCAAAGAATGCTCAGAGGGGATTTGTCAATCTGAAAATAGGCCGCAGCAACTGGAATTCACTAGTGGCTCCTCCTTCCAAGCATCTAGTGTCTTTAAGGATATTTAGGCAAGTACAGTACAATTTTTAATTGCACAGACTCATTATTTTAAAATAAGTTGAACATTTAATATAGAGCAAGAAGGTGTCATGGCCAAGCTCTTGACTAAAATAAATGAAAATACAATATGTGTTAAAGCAAGAAACTTGAAGGTTTGTGAAAGAACAAAGAACTCTTTATAAACGTATGCAAAGGGGTCTTGTAGTGCTTTGGAGATGGACGGAATGAAGTTGATAGCATAAGCTTTTGTAGACTAAATCTGTTTTCTCAGCTGCAGATAGGCATCGCTCCACTTATCTGATGTTGCCTAAGATTTGTAATTTTTTTATTCTAAAGATGTTTTACCCCACTCCTACCCTCCACGCCTCCCCCTAGACCAGTGTTTCTCATCCTGGGGGTTGGGACCCCTGGAGGGGTCATGAGGGGGTGTCAGAGGGATCACCAAAGACCATCAGAAAACACAGTATTTTTTGTTGGTCATGGAGGTTCTATGTGGGAAGTTTGGCCCAATTCAATCATTGGTAGAGTTCAGAATGCTCTTTGATTGTAGGTGAACTATAAATCCCAGCAGCTACAACTCCCAAATGTCAAGGTCTATTCTCCCCAAACTCCATCAATGTTCACATTTGGGCATATTGAGAATTCATGCCAAGTTTGGTCCAGATCCATCATTGTTTGAGTCCACAGTGCTCTCTGGATGTAGGTGAACTACAACTCCAAAACTCAAGGAAGTTGTAGTTCACTACCAATCCAGTATTTTCTGTTGGGCATGGGAGTTCTGTGTGCCAAGTTTGGTTCAATTCCATCGTTGGTGGAGTTCAGAATGCTCTTTGATTGTAGGTGAACTATAAATCCCAGCAACTACAATCCCAAATGACAAAATCAAACCCCAACAGTACCAACCCCAATTTGGGTGTATAGGGTATTTGTGCCAAATGTGGTCCAGTGAATGAAAATACATCCTGCATATCAGATATTTACATTACGATTCATAACAGTAGCAAAATTACAGTTATGAAGTAGCAACGAAACTAATTTTATGGTTGAGGGTCACCATAACATGAGGAAATGTATTAAGGGGTCGTGGCATTAGAAAGGTTGAGAACCACTGCCATAGACATACAATTAACATACAATAATCTACAGAAATTATATTTGAAATATCAGTCTTAATCTCATTTTTTCTACTGCACATCTTAATACATTCTTTAAATAATTCATAACTGGATCCCACAATACCTTAATTATTATAACATTTTCTGTTTTGCCTATATTGTTCAATTTACAATTTGTTATTTTCATATTTAACCTATTTACTATATAATTATAGCAATTTGTCAGAGTCCACTATCTTTCCAACTCTCACTAAAACAATCTGTGCACATGCTATTAATTTGTCATCCGCTCTTTCCTTTTGCTCGTTATACACTCCTGGTATTCTTGCAAGTAGTACATTTCTGTTGACTATTATTATTTGAAGATTTAACATTTTATTACGTTCTCCTTCAATTGTTCTGCAGTATGCCTGTACTCTGTCACATTCCCATATCATGTGATTAAACACACCTCTTTGTTTCAACCATGCCAACACCTGTCCTTTACCCCTGGTAAAAATGTGAAAGTTGTGCAGGGGTCCTATACCATTTTTGTAACATTTTTCCTCCTTGCTTCCCTTAGTACATTATATTTTTCCTTTACTATATTACTTATTTCCCTTTGAATGTAATTTTATCATGGCATATGTTTTTTGTCTTAAGATGACAGGTTGATATGCAGCATATTGCAATATACCTTTAGAAATCTACATTTTTTTTGTTTTTATATGACAGCCTCTACACCAGAGAAACATAGCAAATTTATCCTTTTAATACACACACACACATATCCATGTGATCTGTGAAGTCTTGCATTCAGCCCACAAATATGGAGCATCTTAAAGCACTTGGGTTACTTGGAAGTTTATCCAGGTTTCCTCACTAAGAACATTAATAATTGGGGGGTGGGGGATCATGTTACTCTGAACAGCTTCAAATTCACAGAAAAACAGTCCACAACTACTGATCTTTCCCTCTAGTCCAAATTGATGAGGTAATGTTTGTTTTGTCCTAGGGTGCAATCACAGTTGATATTCTATGATGATGAAGCCAAACATATTTGGCCTGTGCCTTGTAAAAAGAAAACAAAAAGGAATCTATATATTAGAACATGCTGTAGAGACACGTTCTGTGGCACGTAAGGATCTTCTGGTTCAAAGTCAGCAGACATTTCAGCTTGGAAATTTCTCCTGAAAGAAGACCACTGGTGTTCTTAGAGGACCTTCTAACTCAAGGTTGGGCAACACAGGAAGTGTTGGATGCCAGTTTTCATATATACTGCATATTGCCATCTTTGCTATAGGACACACAGGGCATTTGCAACTGAATTTGACCCAAAAACCTTCCTCCAGTTTGCATTTAAAAGAAAACTGGACAGTATTCACTTGGAGAAAACCTGTCAGAAGCTTAGTAGCAGCAACAATACACAGGGAAAATCCTACAAATAACTGAACTCACTCCTTTATGTCTTTCCTCTGTTTCTTGCTCATCCTCTCCACCCGGTGGGCTACTGAGGAAGAGATAAACAGTCTAAGTTCTGCGGAGGCCTCCAGAACTTAGACTGAGGGCTACAAGAATCAAATCACAAACTATAGGTTGGCTAGCCCTTTTCTGGAGCAGTCTGTGCTTGGCTGTATAACTACCACTTTAAAGATCCTATGCTTTAAATAATAAAAGCTGATAGAACCACTTACAACTGTACAGAGAAGGGATTTATAAATGTCAAAAGGATAAGAAAAGAGCACAAGTTTTAAAAAATGGTTTTTAGTTCACATATCAGGATTATCCAAGGACTCCTTCCTGGCACCACAGTATTATTTTTGTGGAGTTCTGTCACATCCTGTTGCCAAAAAGACAGAAGCTGTCCTTAGAACTGCAGCTGAATTGCTATGGAGAAATCCCATAAAATGAAACCATCACCTCCTGCCAGGTTAATCTAAAAGTCTTTTCTGGAGGAGAGAATGTTTACATGTGACCTGTCACAAAGTTGAAAACCAGCATCAACAGCAATGTTTGAGCTGCATGAAAGACTGCTTGCCTTTCATCATTCATCTCTTTCTGTTGCTGAAAGAGATGAATGTTGCACTCAGAAAAAGAAGGCCACAACTAAGGACTGTACTTATGGGTTAGGGGAAGAGTTGCCCCACCTGCTATAAGTATTAACTTTTCCCAAATTTTCCTGGGTCCATTTTTGACCATGTTTGAGAAAATATTACTTGAGCAGGAGGAGGCCAGTGGATAGATGGGAACATTTTGTAAGTTGTTTTTCTGAACCAGCCTTGTCACATTTGAAGGACCCTAATTAAGAAGATTTTATTCACATTTTTCAAAAATATTTGAGATTGAAAACTGTCAGTGGATTAAAGTTATTTTCTGGGCTACAAATGCCATTCTGGCTAAGGGATTCTTGGAGTTGTCCAGAAAAAGTAAATTTGCCAAATGTTGATAGAAATTCAGGGTGTAAATGGAATAAATAAGTGCAATAAATATTTATAAATATTAGTTGCATCATTGTCAAAACCACTACAGTTTTTCACAATAAATGGATGGTGATGGTAAATACTCAGTCTCCCTAAAAATGTCACTTGGATGTTACTTGGAACAAGCGATGGATATTTTTGTGCCCAACCTATAAAAGTAACTACTTTGCAAAATCATAGGTAGGGAGATCTGTCGCACTCAATTGTATATGCAACCTCTTGGATTCACTTTATGCCTGGATTCTATCCTATTAATTTTTGCAGCCATGCATAGATTCCTAAAGCTATATGCACAATAAACACTAAGTTCCCATGCCAGACAGTTTTATGAAATAGGTATTTCCTTTGTTGGAGAGTGAATTTTCCAGTGTTTGATATGATTTCCTGCATTTGCTAAATATTAAGTTATTCCGCAGTATTTGAAAGTTTCTGACAATAGAGGTAGTACAAACACAGGTAAGATTTCAAGCTGTAATCCCCCAGGTGTCTCCATTCATTCAACAAGTTCTCCTTCTGTCCCACATCAGTTTCAGACACACATTATTGAAATACAATCATGAATATGTTGCTGTTTATGAATATCTGCTGAATAGGCCTGTTTGATCAAGAAATTTTTTTTTTCTAAAATCGTTTTGTAATTGGGGTGTTTTTTTGTTTCGATATTTAAAATAATTACAAAACTTTCCCAAAAAAAGTTTTGGTATTTACAAAATTTTGTAAATATTAACGAATTTTTAGAATATTTTTTGTATTTTTTAAGAATAATATTAAAATAATATTAAAAAATATTTTAAAATGGAAAATTAACCAAAAAATGGCCCAAATGTGGACCAAACACAGTCACGAGACAGCAAATGAGAGCACACACCAACAGAAGAGTCTTTTCTTTTTTAGAATATTTTTTAAGAATAATATTAAAATAATATTAAAAAATAATATTAAAAATAATAATAAAAATATTTTAAAATGGAAAATTAACCAAAAAATGGCCCAAATGTGGACCAAACACAGCCACGAGACAGCAAATGAGAGCACACACCAACAGAAGAGTCTTTTCTTTTTTAGAATATTTTTTAAGAATAATATTAAAATAATATTAAAAAATAATATTAAAAATAATATTAAAAAATTTTTAAAATGGAAATATTTTAAAATTAAGAAACAAATTCACAAAAACCGAAGGAACTAGGAAGTAATGAATCCAAGCAA